AGGCACACCAGTAAAAAACGAATTTTTGCTCCTTAAATATCTCATGCATCTTCCCCCAGTATTTTGTGACTTCTGTCCGAGAAAGGGGGTGTAAGCATTAAATTAACCCGAATGATTCCACAATTGTGGTATCATCCAAGCCATGCCAGAGGACTTGAACTAGATAAACTAGTGAGAATGCACAATAGCAATAGCAAAGCTTTGTAATGCTAAAGAGCTATATCAATATATATATGTGTTCCCGAAACCTTTGACAGCTTTAAAGAAAGAAAACTGCGTCGTCAATCCTGTTTCAAATTCCGCAATAAGTTTATGCGCCTCATCAACAGAATTAACGTATCCTAAATTATCTGCATGTCTACCATCAATGGTTCGCGACTTAAAATTCTCGCTATGCTGTTTCTGTTTGTTCCTCAAGAATCATGGGATTTACAGCTTTTGATGTTCGGCTACATCACTTGCGGATTTCCGAGAATCTTCGGTTATGTTTTGCAAGTCATTAAATATTCCATCTCAGTCCCTCTCGACCGAGGTGGTTTTGGTGGATGGAATCTAATGCTGACCTCATGATTAACGCCGTGGAGATTTTTAAGCGTGACTGTGGACTGCCGTGAACTAGCCTAGTCACGCAATACCAGCATTAAAAGATTGTCTCACGGCTAGTGAACTCAAATTAAAGAAACATTTAGTTCGGCATTTATATCATGATATGATGATGTTTCCATCGAGAGTATGAAAATCTCCCAGAAGAAATCGAGAAATTATGCAACCGATAGAAATTGGTATATTTAATTTAAAAAACGTTTCCAAAAGTAGGTAAGCGAATTTAGTAATTTAAGTTAAAGGCATAAATCATTGAGAAAATTTCGAGGAGCCAATAGAGAAAATCTCTTTTGTAAATGCTCGTACATGCTATAGAGTGAGGGTCAACATGATTCACGGTCACGGTAGGCTTATGATTTTTTTGTTTTGACATTAAAGGCATGGCTACAAAATAACAGGCGCCAATTTTAAAATAGTTTTCACGGGTTTAATTACATGCAATAGACTTGTTTCACCTTTTAAGTATTGAAATAAAGACATTATTAAATATGTAAAATAATCAGCTTTCTAGATTGGGAAATAAGGATTTGGCAGCGCTCGATATTTATAGCTTAATTATAGGGGTCACAGAAGACAAATTGAGCAGTTTTGGGGTGACCTTTAAAATTGTCTCGTAAAAAATAAAAAGAATGAAATTGATCAAAATAAATGTGATATTTGTACATGGGATAATATTGTAATTTCCAGTGAAAAACTTAGGGAAATCGGTGCAGGGCCGAAATTTGCCTTATCCGTTCTTACGCAGACAGCCTCTTAAGTTCCTTCCGCTTATTATGTGAGACAGTGCTTGTCTTATCCTTGGACATTTTGCGCGGGAAATTGGCGCGCGGAAGCCCAAATTTGATGCTCTCGTGCATGCCCTACGTTACAACGCCGTGTTAATTCGACCTGCCCCATTGAACAGCGGCAAGGTTTTGCCCCATGGCCTCCTCTTTGTGTTTTTCATTACCATCCGCCGTCACTGACAAGTTGGAAAAAAAAATAAAACTACAATGGAGAGTAAAAGATAATATTTGCCTCTCATCTTCCTTGCGATTACTTAAGAAATCGTTAGTTTTTTTAAGCCGCAACGGACAAAAAACGGACAGTTTTAGGGAACTCGAGGCTAAATTTGTGTGTTCTCAATTAGAACTGAATATATCTTCTAATGTCTAAAAACATGTTGAAATTATTTGAATTATGAGTCAAATTAGCATGCTTTCGCATCAAAAGTCCAACAGCGGAGGTGTCCACCTCGTCTGGTAACATATTCGAGCTGTACCTTTTAAGGTGCATGATTCGAGTTGTACCTTTCAAGGTGCATGATTTGAGCTGTACCTTTCAAGGTGCATGAATCCAAAAGAAATACACCAAGCCGCTCTTCAATAAATGACTCGAACAAAGCCCGCTAAGAGTACTTCAAAGCGGACAGAATTTGCAACATGATTAAGAAATCTTTTAGTTCACACGTTTTTCTAGATTAATTTGCACTTCCTCGTTTAAGCTTTTTGAAGCTTATGCAACAAACAGAACTCAAACGGTGTTGATTGAGTATTTCTTGTTGCAAATAACAATGTAATCGTTTCTCAATGTGTTATCCAGTCGGTTATGAACTAAACAGACATCCCGACAGACGATCATTTCATGCCAGAACTAGAGTTCTGTTCCGCTATTCTTCATATTGAACCTAAATTTGAGGCTGTTTTTATTGACCTCTTCATTTTTTTCCCATGCTCGACTTTTTGAGCTCTATTAGTAATCAGAAAACGAACTGCCTCTCGTATTCTTTGTTTTAATTCGAAAGCTTGAGTCTGGGATTTCTATCTCCTCTGCGTTTCTTTTTTTTTTTTTTCCTTTTTTTTTTTTTTTTTTTTCAACCGAGGCTTTTGGAGCTCTGATTCAGTTTTGCCGTGGGTGGGGTGGGTATTATGCACCAGATTTGCTTCTCTTGTTGTCTCGTCGATAACAATCTTTTTTAAGATGTGTTGACGTAAAGAAAAATAGCATTGTCGTCCATGAGACGTTCGAAGAAAGCTTAAGGAATTTATTTGACTTAACATCGGTAACAGAACCAATTCCGTTCGCAATAGTTCAGGCGTTACTTTAACTTTTAATTTTGTTTTGAAACGAATTTCGTCTGTTCTGATAACTCGACCCTAATCTTTCTCCGATTGATCCATCGTCCAGATTTTGTCAAAGTTGTCAAAAATCCTCGAATACATCTTGCAAGTTAAAGCTTGCTTCTTTACCCCGTTTCTGCAGAAGAAACAAAAGTCTGCTAATTAATAATGAATTAGGCAAAACCTTTAACTAACGGAGAAAATTAAGTCAACCATTTTCAACTTCATACTGCATGACGTAAAATTTGGTAATAACGAAAAATTGTAACAGACACCCGTCAAATAAGCATGGATGAATGGAATTGAAATTGAAGTTCATTGGAAGGATATGAAGGCTAAAAATACCACCACAGTAGTAAAACTTTTGATATTAGTGATAGCAATAATAATGAAACTAATAACAATAATAATAATAATAATAATTATAACAGTAATATAAACAGCTATAGCATTGATTTTAACGATAATGAAAATTATGACAATGGTAAAAATGATAATAGTAACACCAATAATAATTATAGTTCTCAATCACTAACGAATAATAAAATATTGGAGACAAACGCGCTTACGAGAAGTTTTCTCGAAAAAAGCGCTGAAAAGAACAAAAAACAGAACATTTTCACAGTGGACATAAAGTTGCGTCATGAAAAATACGATAAATAAAACACCCAACCCGACAGCCACAAAAGGCGATGCCAGATAGCAGTTTCGGTTTTGATAAACAGTTTAATCCGTGTGATAGTTTTCTCAGACTACACTACTGTTGCGTTAAAATTTACCTTGCCTGAACTCGATCGTCTTCTTCTGCCACACACAACCCACGAGTGGTATCCACAGACGCGTGGAAACAAGCTGTGTTCAGTTTTACTTCGTTTAGTTTCCTCAGCCCTTTGCACCTTTCCTTCGTTAATGTTCATCCTTTCCTGGTGTTTTCCTTCGGCATCCACCATCACTGACAGGGCTATTGAGACTAAAGCCACCCAAGCGAGGGTAAACAAACACTTTCCTTTCATATTTGGTATGATTGGTATCCTCAGAAAATTATGGCAAGTAAACCAGAGGTTTCTTAATCAACTGTGAATACGGTAGGATCCTCACGATGAGAATGAAGGTTTCCTTCAGAAAATGGTCTTTTTATCCTCCTTTTTTCGTTAGGAGACAATTCTAGAGTACTCCTAGCAAAATTTATGTGATTCACTGTGGGCGGCGTAAATCTTTTAGTCTCCAAAATACTTTGTTTAAATGATTTCAATTACGATCTAAATCATTAATTAACATAATAGAAACGCTTGCTTATCAGAAGTCCCGCTGCGGAGGTCCAAGCTTTGCTGCTGGGATATTCGTACTGTTAAGTTTGGCAAATTATATGAATCGTAAAAAGAAAATACTGGACTTTATTTCATAAACGATGTTTCAGCCATACCTGACCAGTTCAAAATCAGTAAAGCTTGACATAGCATATCCACTGCTTCAAGCAGCTGTTTAGCAGTCAAAATTTCCATATAAATTTAAGACATAATTACTGATTGAACAACTTTCATATGCAAACCAAAATGAGTAACCTATTGTAAAACAATAAAATGCTAGGCGAAAATCGGTGAGTACTCTTCATTTATATTTATTTTCCCTTAAACCTTTGTTCCCGTTTTCGCTTCCAGTACCGCTACATTTAATCAACACCTTACGCATAGTGTACTCTTTGATTACTAAATGGGGGCGGATGAAAAAACATGGTGAAAGCAACTTAAAATTTCATATGACAAATTTCTTCCTTCAAGCCTCATTGGTTGGACTTCCTTGCAATGACACAATAGAGATAATTCAGTTTGATATACATCAAACGCTTATTAAAACACACGCCGTTTTCCTGTCGCCTGATTGCGGGAATGCACCATTAGATTCATGACAAGTCACGGAAGCTGATTTCGCTTGAATTTAACGGATATAGATATTCATCTTTATATACTTACAGAATACAATGTCATACGCATGCAAATCATTTGTGGAAGGTGGCTTTCATATCAGGCAGTTGGAAAGGTGAACCAGTTTGTTTACCCTATGGGAATTGAACTAACGGACGCCAACACACTGATGTAAGGCGATAAAGTGCCACCCCCTATTTCATGCTCTTATTTCCATTTTAATCATTAAAACAGAGAAGTAATAATCATTACAAAGCAACGGATCTTGCCGGATGTTCTTTTCTTTATTATCTAACGCTATATTGAGGTCATCCGCACATGCCATTTTTTATTTCAATTCATGAGCGAAATCGTTGAATTGTAAAATGACCCTCACTTATCTTCCTACGTATTATGTTTATGGCCCCATGCAAATGGAACAACGAGGCGGTCTTCCTTGTAGACATAAAGCTTTCCTCATCAGTTGTGGCGTGGGTGCTTCGTAACCCCTCAAGGCTTTCTTGCTGGATCGCGTCTTCCCGTAGTGATCCTACAAAGGGGTTGGAAAAAATACAGCAGCGTTGAAATGACTGACCTTTACTCTTAAGAACTCCATTAGCGGTATTTCATTCATTTACTTTTTACAAAATTCGGCCTACCATTACCGTCAATTCGTAAATTTGGTTTATCTTATCCACCAAGCTAAAATCCTCGCAGTATTCACGGTCAACAAAGTAACTTTTCATTTACTATTGTTCTCGACCATATTCGCAAAATCTCGGCAGGAGTTCTCAAAAATCAGTTATATGACTTTATTTTTCTTCAAAGTTACTGTTAGGAGCAGACAACGAAATCTGGAGAATAATCTAAAAAAGGCATTTGTCTTGGGGCAAAATAATGGTCTTTGACCGAGCTCTATGACTTTACGCTTACTTTTCATCTTGCGCATTTTTCTTTGGCATGATTATTTGCTTTGCGTAAAAAAGGATTTCAATTGGTGTTATTTACTAAGTATTTTTCAGTTTTCTGACAATATTTAACTATAAATCCATTCAACGCCAGATGGCAAAAATAATTACTTTTTTGGCACATTAATCTTCACTTTAGCATTTGTGTCCGCATATATATAATTTGGCGTCCCTATGACGCGTCTAGCATAATACTTTTGCAGGAGAAGTGAATTATTTTCTCCATTTTGATAAAAAAAAAGTGACGTGAGACTATAAATCACTTTTCTGTTTTTTCTTACCCATCAGGTGTACTTGGTGATAATCGTATTTTACTGATTCATTCCTTGAATCAGGTGGTTTTTTTAGAACAATTGACCTCTCAATACTGACTGACAGAACTACCATCAGGACTTTATAAAGAACAAAGAATTTAATTTTTATTCAGTTTAATTATGGGCAACTGAGAGACACTTTTCATATATACATATATATATATATCATATTTCACAGGTCGGTGACTCGTGTGAAAGCAATCATCGGTTACTAACATTGTTTAGTCTAGAGACCAAAGGAAAATTCTTAACAATTGGTTTATTTCTGCGAGGTATTGGATAAAGAATATTTGGGAATCAATAAGTGGCCGACTTGCCAAATTTGACATGTCTCCTCATGATTTGGCCATCTATGGCAAAATGTACGTTCACATGTAATATCTATTCAGTTTTCAAAGAAATTTTGACAGGGGAAGCTGATTTTCCATCTTTCTTCGTACCTCTCTTTTTGTCTTTCTTTTCATCCTATCGATTCGCTCTCCAAGCGAAAGCGAAGAAAGAAAAGTCACATCCAAGAAGCAGCTAATTTAACCTTATGACTTGCACAGAAGTAACACGTATTCCGTACATGCGCACTCGTATAAATAACCGATGCGTGATTCCAGCTTCGCAGTATATGAACGTTAGGTTACGCTACAGCATTTTGTTTGAATTGTGGTGGATATTCTAACGGTTGTTGTGGGAAACTGAACCTCCATAAGGAGCCCTTCCTCCCATGTATCTCGTAGCCTTGTACGGAAGGAAAAAAAAGCATCCAAATTCCTCTGGTAGCATGGTAGAATTGGATTATTTTTTTCTTGGCTCAAAATGACTTCTGATCCCGCCTGAAGTAAGAAAAAGAATCAGCGACATGTCCCAGTCAATCCCTTTTATCCTTCCTTCGTACTAAAGTATCTCCCAAAAAGTGTTCGCGTCGCGAATTTGGAGTTTCCATAAGAGGGGTTAATTATTGCTAAATAAAGCGCATAAACAAATAACCTGCGAGCAGGAAAATGAGGAATGAGGGTGGGGAATGGGGAATAGGAATTGGGAATGGAAGGGAGGAATGGGGTATGAGGAATAGGAAATGGAAAAGGAAGAATTGGGAGTAAGGAATGAGAATATAAACTGACCAATATTTAAGCAAATTACCATCAAATCCTGAACTTCTTAGTATCTTTGCATTAGTAACATCCCTGCAAGCGCACGGAATTTTTACCGCACACTGTCACGAGTATTGCTAAATCGTTTGACAGGAATACGTAAACTAATGCAGCTAACCGAAAATCTGGTTATCCACCTGATTATTAAAAAAATCAATTATAAGCGACTTTGCTGTGGTCTTAATCGGCCAAAAAAGACTGTGCGACCTGATACTCCATCCTTAGTTTATTTCAAAATGTTTTGATTCGTTCCAAACACACAGACGCACAAACAGTTAATTCTGAATTCTTCGAAAGTTTTTAGCTTTTATTGAAGTCGTATTATAAAGACTAACTAGAAATTATCCTCTGTGATGGAAATTATCAAAAAATTGCCACTCCTACCTACGAGCATAAATGATTTACCGCCGCCCAGAGAAATAGGAGCCGGAAGATATCTAGATAAGTTGACCAGATGGTTTGTCACACGAGATCTCGAGGATTTTACACAGATTGTTTCTTAGAAGGAACTGGCGATTCCTAAAGATAAAAATAGATACAAAAACAAATATAGCCAATGAAATGCTCGTAATATCACGGTAGATAAAGTTTAAACTTAACGAAAATTTTTGATGAAAGCATAAACATTATCATGAAAAGAAAATCATTTCTTGTTTAGCTATTCTTAGAAGTGAGCTGAGAATCTTCGAATAAAACCTTTTTGGCAAGATAAAAAAAATACAATAATTTTTGAAATGTTTTAAATCATAGGAAAGCTCCAAAGTAGTAAAAAATGAAATAAAAGCGAAATCTTTCGAGAGGATGACTTGAATGAATTAAAAAAGTAAAGAAAAAAAACCTCTTTCACGGTGCAAAGGCTTCATTTCCTTTCCTCCGCAAAATGTTCGCGAATGTTCCACTTTGGTCTGTGAGCGATGAACGATAACTTAACTCAATTCTTGTTAGGTTTTTCATGACAAATGCTCAATGTGTATCGCATAATGCATCATCTGATACCACAAACATACGTTATCGTGCTAATTAAGAAATCGATCGTAGTTCCGAAGATAGCAAAATGGATCACTCTCGTTGGATAACATCCACGATAAGGAAGCATCTAATTTCAGATAAAAGCGATATAAAACGAGAGGTAATATCACTTACCAAAATCAACGGTCAATTTATTACAGCTTCACCAAAACGGACATGGCAAGGTTGCTGGTTTTATTGGTTATAATAGCCGTAACATCAAGTATTACAGGCAATGAAATATCGGAGAAGGTTCCCTTACTGTTTCCTCGCGCTTGCGGCATCCATGGATGGAAAAAATGTCGCGTTGCGAGAAGAAGGTCACATTTACAGGTAACTGGTGAATTAATGCACGTCAAAGTACCTTCTCATTACATCTTTCTTAAAGCACAAAGTACCCCACACGTTGTTGTTGTTGTCTTTTTTTTTTTTAATCTCGGAACGGATTCGAATTGTTAGGCTCCAACTGTTCGAAAACGTAATTCTTCGCACTCTTATATAAAAAGAAACATTACCTTCTTGCCTTCCTGTTCGTATTCGAAATTCCATCATGCTATTTTCACAAAGGAGACATTGCAACAGGACTTTAGATTATCTAATAACTCGATGAAACTTGCAAAGAAGTCCTCAACAGAAATGTCAGACATGCAGAAATGCTCCCAATACTCAAAATGGCGCCAATCCAAAAAATTCAGCTCTTGCCAAACCTTCTTGCTACACGGTAGATCAAAACTCCACTAGGTCACGACACTGAATTTTCCGCAGGCGAAAGAAAGAAAGGGAAAGATGAAGGAATATGTGAATTCTGTGAGCAAAGTTGCAGAGACGATCGTAAAGTGCCTTGTCCGTGTTTTGGTTTTCTCCTCGTCATTTTCTTTTGGTTCATTTTCTATGAAAATGAAACTAAAACTTGGTCTTAAATGGTCAAGTTATTTTCATGTTATCATTTAACTATTTCAATTCATTTTAGAAGAAAAGCATCAACGCAAGGGACGTATACATCTGAGAGGATAAACATGACCTGTAGAAATCTTCAAACCAAAGAGTTACTCAGCCTTGATCAGCGTGGAAAGAGCCGGTTAGCTTAATGTAGCAAACAGCGATGTAATTTCTAAGAAAAATAAAAATCACATATTCTATTCACTCCCTCGTGGCACGTTTTAGGGCCATGGTTAATAGGTGGGCAAAATTCAAAGATTCAAATATAAGTTTTCAGTTTGTTCATTTATTTACTATTACTCGTTTTATTTTTGCTTTGGTCTTTTTTTATTATTATTTTCCTTACTTTGCACAAAGTGAGATTGAATAATTTGCAGTCAGCGAAATGTCAGCTTTGAAACTCTTTAAGGCGGCCAATTTACGTTATCAACTCACTTGACAATACTTAATTACCCTATTACACTCTCCCACGGACGCAGCACCACAGTTTCTTCCGACAAAAAAACTCGTCGACATCAGAACGATCGCCTTTTATAAACCATCGCGAGGCAAAAGGTGTCGTTTTCCGAGTCTCCTTACCCATTCTCGCTCATGCATCTCTTTTATTAAAAACCAAAAAAATTCCATCTCCGAAAGTGGAACGTATCTATAAAAATTTAATACTTACTACATAAAATGTGAGATTCTGAAGAGAAAAAAGCTTAGAGCCTTATAATATTTTGTTCGAGTAGGACACCGCATTATAAAAAAGAACTCAGTGATGTGGTCACGCTTGCCATGGTAGTATGACGTACAAGATTTAACCTCTATTTACGAGAACCATGACCCATGGTTCACACAGCTGCTCCTTGTCGCCAAAACAGAACATCGAGAGGTTGAAAAGGAATCGAAAAGTTGAGACTTTGGTAAATCACAGGAAAGCGGCTAGATTGCTTGGAAATATTAAAAATAGCGGCATGCAAAGTCGAATTTCAAGCACGTTTGAAGGCAATTCAGAATTTTGGGCTTCACTATAGCATCTCAAAACGCGGTTAGCGTCATAATTTTTACTTAGCCCTTCGATAGCATGGACGAACTTGATAGGGTTGCTTAAGTATATACTACTTAAAAAAAAGGAATGATTGTGTTCGACCACCTTCTCATAATATGAATATATGTGAGCAACTTAAGAAGCAATTGAGTTTCATTTTCTAGAAGTGTTTTAGATGCTGTGTACGCTGCCTGGGCTTAAGATAATCGGTCGTTACTCCATTGATCAAGTCTTTTTTTAAAAAATCGTTAACAAGACCGAACAAAATTTTATCAGACGCTTGGTATTCTTCTATGAATATTATTATTATTGAAAGAGAGTGTTGGTCAGAAAAAAAATCTCTTTCTCTACGGCACAGCATCAGTTTTAGGTCGATTGTATCCTGATCGCCCAATCACACGATTTTGTTTTCACTCACCCAATTTCGCATTATCAAGAAACGCAACCAACCAATTTCATTATTTGACAAACTATCATTTAAATTTCGCCTAAAAATGATAAAGTGGGAATGCAATGGTTTAACGTTCTTGCTCTTGACTTTCATCTTTTGGAATACTCACAGATCAAATGTTCAAAACTTTGTTTTCTCGGTTCAAATACAATTGAATCTCGTTTTGGACTGCCCACTCTTCCCCACGACACAAGGTTAGGGATATAAGTTTACAAAATATTTTGAAGCGCATATTTGTTATGTTTATAATCATACAATCATACTCGTATCCTTTCATTGATTAGGGCAGACACTTTTTTTTCTGTATAATCCATTGAAGAACAGCCCTAAGATTTTAAGTGATCGTCAGGCAAGCACAAGTAACATTAACATCATTTATATTGAAAAACAACAGTGACGTCGAAAACAACACAGCCATTTACTTCAGCTCAGAATTTTCAATTTCTCGTTCCGAAATGCATCTAGTTTAAGATACAGAAAAAATTGAATTAAGATGAAAAAAGCTTCTACCTCTTTTTGGCTTATAAGGACGATTATTGGTTTCATGTTTCACTGTTGCGCATCGAAGGCAAGAAGACGATTTGATTCAAGTTTGTCAAGTCGTGTCGACCTCCCGCTTACTATGTTATATTTGTAGATACTTACCTCCTGCCTTAGTGCTGAAAAGAAAATGATAGTATTGGAAAGCTAATATTTCCTGTTTTCATAAACCTTTGATACTCAGTATTGACATCACGAGGTTCTGTATCCCGTTTAAAACGAAAAACACACTCCCCCTAAGGATAAAACATTCTGCCGTTTCGTTTCGACAACCTAAATGCTATTTATTAACGATCACTTCGCCGAACATTTCACTAAATGAGCTCTTGAAATTCAAAATTTTAAGTGATGCCAAACATTTGAGAAGAAAACGCTAAACTGGATGAAATCAAAGGCCAAACTTTTTGAAAATGCACTCCTCTAATTGGGAACGAAACAAAAGCTTATTTGGTAATGTCCGCTTTTTTACTGCTCTATCATCAAATGATGCTTCCTTTCCAAAATACTTACGGACTATTACATCTGCAGTTCTTTTGTGTGCAAAAACATTGTAAACAACATTTTCCTCAAATGCATCTTGAATATTTCTCTGTCGAAGTGTGACGCTCCAGAATTAAGTAAAACTATAAAATCTGCCTTTTAAGCTAGTATAAATTTCTTTTTTTTTTTGATGAGTTGTGTAACTTCAGTTCATCAAAACTAATAATATTGACTTGTGCATTTTCAACACAACATTCCCATCAGCTGCAATCTGCCTTCATCTTCAGTTAAGGAAGTGTCAATAAAAACAGTGATGTAGTGTGTGGTTTATTTACAACATTTTTTTTTTTGGTTTTGCAACAGATAGAAACCCAATGCAATGCTTCATCTGTTTCTGTAGTCCTTTGATCAGTCCAATAGGAAGTAATTATTCATTCCTTGACCTTTTGAATCAGCGTACAAAAGCTGTAAAGTGCTTCGGAAGGGGTAGTGGGTAGATAATATAACGCTGCTGCTAATGACAATTGATGAAGTTTAGATCGTTTCGTATCGTGGCCACACTTAGAGACACTCGTTTTTATGAGGAATGTAAGAGATTTCCCAAACAAACGAAAAAATATATCAAAGCCAAATTCCGCCCATGCCTTTTAAAGAGGAACGCACCTGCAGTTTCAAAAAGCATATAAACGAAAGGAAAAGGACAAAATTTTGGATCAACCAACAAACCACTCAGGTCTTTTCGATTCAATATCTATCCAAACTTTCCTCTAAAAATTTTTCCTTCAGAAAGAAAACTTTGAGATGTTTTCGACAAAATTTGTCCTCTTAGCGTTCCTTTTCCTAATCTCATCACCTTCATTAGCTTTTAAAATAGCTGGGAATGACGAGTTCCTAGGAAGTGGAGATGGCAGTCACAAACAGAAAAGTCTTTCGGGTCAATCCACTTTAGCTTGCTTTTGTGGAATGACATCGTTCAAGTGTTGCAAGGAACGAGGGGTAAGATCTGCATATTTCAATTAGATAATATTGAGGGAAAGCTTTTAAAATAATCATTTCAAGTCGGGCACTTGTCATTAGCCCTTGCATGGCTTTCTTGTTGTTTACACTGTTGTTTTCAGGGTTTTTTTTTTGTTTTCTTTTCTTTCACAACGCAGAAAGACTTTTGCACAACATGTTTTGTCAGCTTTCTCTTTAATCTACTTTTTTTTCAGAATTTTCCGTCCTCTGTAATCTAACGAATCTATTATTTTGTCCATACCTGATAGACGCTAAAAACGAATTTAAGTTATTCAAGTTAGAAACCGTCACATTTAATGCCTTTGTCAAAAATAAAATGTAAGCTAGTCTTGGACTAAAAATGATTTTCTTGTGTAAAAATATGAGAACCACATTCACATCGACACTTCGCCTTCGTTAAATCTATGTTTTTGTCGCATTCCTTCCCCCATTTTCTTCGATGTTTTAAACTTGAAAAAACAGCACCTCCCTA